TTATTTCTGATATCATTTTTTCCAGATCCTCTTTTGTTGCCAGTTCAGAGAGTCCAGGTGGTTGAGTATCAGAGTGTTCCCTCTCATTTCCCTTTGGGGTTGCTGTAGGTGATCTGGAAGTCTGGTTTTGAGACTTGTTCATGTGTCTTCTCATTTCGACCCAGGGTGTGGGAGGGTGCTGTTGGCACCTCTGAGCTGGGAGCAGTGGGATTGCATCCTAGAAGCCCCTTCCTCTGGGCTGGGAGCGGCGTGATGGATGGCAGCCCAGAAGTCCCTTCCTCTAGGCTAGGAGCAGAGGGACAGATGGTGGCCCAGAATCCCCTTCCTCTGGGCTGGGAGTGGTGGGACAGCAGCTCAGCAGCCCCTTCCTCTGGGCCTGGTGCAGCAGGATGGACAGCAGCTTGGAAGCCCCTTCCTCTGGGCCAGGAGCAGTGGGACAGATCTCTTCATAACTTTTTAATGTAACTTCCTTATTCTTTTTTTCCAGGCTATACTTTCTGGGAACCATTTCATTTCATTTATTTCATATTTCATTTCAGTTCAGTTCATTTCATTTCATTGGTGAAGTACCAGAGATTGAACCCAGGACTTCAAGCATGCTAAGAAAATGCTCTACCATTGAGCTACATCCACTCCCCATTCTATTTTTAGTTTTTTGAGTCAGGGTCTTGCTAAATGACCCAGGCTAGCTTCAAACTTGTGATCTTTCTACCTTGGCCTCCCAAGTACTAGGATTACAGGTGTCAAGGTTGAGCTTACCTGTAGGCCACCAGCGGAGGGGTTCATTTAGTCAATGTAGTCTTTTGTGAGGTGAGTGAGTTAATTCCCCAATAAAGTACAGGGCATGGAGCCAGTCATCACCAAAAGAGCATCATCAGAGCAGGAAAGCCAGAGCCAGAGCTCTAAAGCTCAAGAGCTGCTTGCTTATATTTCTTCCATCTTCATATACCTATTTTCAGACATAGCAAGACATTATCATGAAACACCAGCTGTGTATCCTTGTGTGACTCTACCGCACATGCATGGTTGAGTTTGTTGTCACTCATGTAACTGTGGCCCATTATGTGCATGCTCCTAACAGTGGAGGTGTGACCTCAGGTGCACCTGCCTTTCTCAACCTTTGAGTCTATTAATCAGAGTTTGAGTATAATCGGAAGTGGTACCCCACAGCAAGCAGCACCATGCTGGGCTTACATTTATTTTTCAAAATGAACAATTTAGTTAGATTTTTAAGAAAAAACATAATTGATTGGCATAATTATTGAGATTTCATTGAATTTATCATTTAATTTAGGTAGCATTTTACCATTCTGCATCTTCCTATTCAGGAACATAAAATCATTAGAAAATGTAGTGAGTTATTGGTGGAAGAGAATTGAATTTGGCCTTTTTTCTTTAAGATCCCAAAGAAGGCTCAGTAAGAAAAATGTAACATTTTCTGAGCAGCTGAAGCTTTGTCCTTGCATGAGAATCTGGCTTCTGGTAAGCTACTTCAGAATCTCTGGGCAGCTTCATTTTATCGGTGCATCTGTATGCACGGCCTAGTATCCTTGTCTCACCAACCCTCCTCTGCCTCCCACCACCGACTCAAAATAGACCCCATACACCCAAACTGCCACTTCAATGAGATGAAACCGCACACACATCAGCACTAAAGAAAACGGACCCAGGATGTACATGGACAGAGACAACACATTTGCCCCCTTGTTAAAAGTGATTCTAATGTAAAGCCAGCTCAGGTAGGAGACGACCCAAGCAAAGAATGAGAAGAGAGAGAGAGAGAAAAGGAGGGAGAGGGGAGGGAAAGGGAGAGAGAGGGCAAGGGAGAGAGAGAAAGAATGAGAATGGGAATTGAATGAAGTCACTTTATGTTGTCATTGTACATGTGGACAAAGATGGAAAGTCCTTGGAAAGCTTCATCCTCATGAAAAGTGACCTGATCGATACTTATGAACCTTACCAATGGGATCTGCATTCCTCTTCATTGGGTTTCCTTGTAACAGAGGATTTTTAGAAGTCAATAAGTATGGGAGGCTGACGCTGGAGGATCACAAATTCAAGCCCTGGCTGGGCAATTTAAGGACTGAGCAAGACCCTGTCTCAAAAACAAGAAAAAATAAAAATGTGAAGAAATAGGGATGTGATTCAGTGTAAAAGGCCACAGGTTCAATCCCTAGTACTGCAAATCAATCAACCAATCAATAAAGTGTCAACAAGTACTTCTCACACACATTCAGAACTTTACACCCTGAAGCAAATTCTCAAATGTTCAAGTGTGTTACACAACCTTTGTTGGGTTTACTCCTGAGAAAAATGAAGGATTTTATGGCAATGGGAGCTAAATATTTTTACAGTTAACATTTTCTAAATAGGTTTATTGGTAAATAAAAAATGAATTTTGATACTTAAAACCATGTGTCAAAAAAAATAATTGATTGTGTGTGTTTGTTTTTATTTAACCTTATGGAACTCATGACTTTTTTAAATCTCTGGAATTTTCTAAAAGTAGTTTTATTTTATAAAAAAAAACACATAATTTGATACTTGTCTGTCTTCTTTGTATTTATTTTTAAATATACTATAAATAAAAATATTACAATATACATGCACATTTTTTAAAAACTTAAAAATAAACATTTATCTATCCCCCAAGCTAATGGAGCACAGATTCATTGTAACTTCTGTGTATCCCTCCCAGAAATAACTACTGCCCTGAATTTTGTCATAATAATTCCTTTGTTTTTTCCTTTGTGTGAGTGTGTGTGTGTGTGTGTGTGTGTGTATGTCATATTTTGCCAGCCTCTGCTTTTTATGGTCATTATTATGCTTTCAAGATTTAACCATATTATAGGAAATAGTTGTATTATAATCACTTTCCCTTCTGTATGGTATTCTTTTGTAACAAGATACCATAATTTATTTATTCAATTTATTATTCATTTGTATTTATTTTCTTTTTGCTTTTTTTTTCTATTACAAATAAATATTTTTGGGGCCAGGGGTTCAGCTCAGTGGTGCCGCCACCTGCCTCGCACGCACAAGGTCTCGAGTTTGATCCCCAGTACCAAAAACAAAAAAACAAAACAAATAAATGTTCTTGCACACATATCCTGATAAACATGTTCCCCTGGGATACATAATGTAGGAGTGGACTTGCTATAAGTAGAATATATGTGTGTCCAATTCGTTCAGGTAGTATTAAACATTTGCCAGTGATTTTGGTGATTTATACAGGCATCGGATATGTATTTTGTTCCTATCATTCCAAATCCTTGTCAAAACATAATATCATCTAATATTTTAAACTTGAAAATATTTGACAAATAAGGATGGTATTTATTCAATATGTACATAGTAAATTGATACATGTAGATTTTGTATAATAATTACCATAACCAAATTCATTGTTTCGTCAGTATGCCATCTGATGGTGTAAAATAGTGTCTCTAATTGATATTGTCCTATTAATGTGGTTGAACATATCTTCACAAATTTTGGCCAGTTGTGTTTCCCGTTTATAAAAGTTGCCTCTTCATATCTTTTGTCTTTTTTCCTTTTCCTTTTTCTTGGGGGAGGGTTGTCTTTTTATCATCAAAATCTCTCTGATTTGTAGAAATTATTTATATATTCTGAACTATATTCCTATTTTCATTTCTGCTATAGTGTGGATTTGGAGTACCCCTAAAGGGACATATGGTAAAAGTTTAGTCCTCAGTCTCTGGAGCTATTCGGAGATGGTGGAACTTTTAAGAGGGGGGCCTGCTGGGAGGTTTTAGGTCACTGGGGTCACAACTTTGAAGGGGATTGTGGGACCTCAGTTTCTCTCTCTTTTTGTTTCAGGCCATGAAATGAATAAGCTTCCTTGCCTCACAATACCACTGTGATGTGCTGCCTCACCACAGGCCCAAAAGCAATGGGGCTGACTGAGCATGAACTGAAACTTCCAAAACTGTGAGCCAAAATCACCTTTCCCTCTTTTTAAGTTAATCACCTCAAGTATTTTGTTTCTTTAACAGAAAGCTGAGTAACAGTGTTATGAAAATCATTTCTCAGTTTATAGCTCTTTTCATTCTTTTTGTAATACTTTTTGAGAAAAAGTATGTCATTTTCAGGTGGTAAAGTTTATAAATGTCCTCCTCAAAAAAATACTTATAATTCTGAGTTTTATTTAGGAAAATTCTTCCCTGTTCTGAGGTCATGAACTTTTCCCTGATATATTAAGATTTACCTTTTACATTTAAGACCTGGATCCATTTAGAGTTTATTTTTGTGCAGAGTGTGAGGTAAGGACCAGTTTTTACTTTTGTTCACATAAGTAATATATTGACCTGGCATTACAGTTGCCTGATAAAGCACATAAAATATAGAATGTTAAGTTTAATTTGAATTTCACGTGAAAATGATATAATTTTAGTTTAAGGATGTCCCATGCAATATTTTGGCCCTATACTAAAAAATTATTTGTAGCTTATATGAAAATCAACTTTAACTGAGCCTTATTTATTTTTTCTGACAACCTTACCTGCTATTTATTGAATAATCCATTCTCTTTTTTTCCAGTGTTAAAAATCAAACCTAGGGCCTCACACATGCCAGGCAAGTATTCCACTGGGCCACACCCTCAGATCTGAATAATCAATTGATCCGTGACATGCATTTTAACTTCTGTTATTTTTCAGATTTTGTGTTCTTCTGTATTCTATATGCTGTTCCAATTTCTGTATCTTCCTTAATTATAATTGCTTCAAAATAAATCCTGCCATCTGGCTGCCCAACCTGATTATCGCCCTTCAGAACTGTGACTAGTACTTCCAGACCTATGTTAGATAGTAGGGGTAAAATTGGACTTCTTTTGCCTAGTTTTCACTTTACCTGGACTATTTCTAACAGTTCTTTATTAGTCATATGGCAGGCTGGGTTTATGAGAAATATAAATATAGATCGTGATGAAATGTCTACTAGTTCTATCTAATTAAGAGGTTTTTAAATCAAGAATAAACATTACATTCACTTTCAGCATCTTTGGAGATCATTATAAGAATATGTATTTCCTTTATTGATAAACATTATTCTCTATTAATGAACTATAATTCGATAATTTTTCAATTTTTATATTTAAACTGGTCATAGTGCCTCTTCTTCAGATATGTTCCTAGGTGGTGTTTGGTAATTTATTTAGGAATTTTTAAATTATTGATAACAGGTTAGTTTGTACTGTTCCTTCTTGGGGGGGTTAGTACTGGGGACTGAACCCCACTGAGGGCATTCTCACTGAACTACATCCCCAGTCATTTAATTATTTATTTGTTTGTTTATTTGTTTATTCATTTAAATTTTGAGACAAGGTCTCACTAAATCTCCAGCTAAGTTGCCCAGCTGTGGGCTCAAACTTGTGTTTCTCCTGCATCAGCCTCCCAGAATGCTGAGATTACAGGCATGTGCCACCACACCCAACTTGTATTTTTCCTTTTTCAGTGCATGTGTAAATTCAAGTGAGTACAGTGCAAAGAAGGAAGGATGAGATGCCAAAGGAAAACTTAGCGTGTATATCTTTGAAAAACTGTAAGTACAATACTGTGTACAATAAAGGTGAACCCAGTCCTCTCCCTCCCTCTCTTACACACACACACACACAAACACACACACACACACACACTCACAGTGCTCCAAGAAGTCCTGAAAGAAAGATTTTATTCCACAGCCTCTTTTTGGAAACAGAAAAGTGGAGTCCTGGAAAGATTAATTGCCTGTTGAAGTTTACTTACCTGGTCTCTCCTTGCCAACAATATCCCAAAATTGAAAGACAGGTCTTTCTGAGAAGGCTGGTGGGATTTTAAAGTTAGAGAAAAGAGCTTGGCTGGACACTTTGCTACAGTCTTCAAAATGATGAAAGGAGGTCAAATAAGCAATGACAGTCTGTCCTTTTCGATGATTGTTCAGGACAAGAGGAGTAAAATGGTTTTAATTAATTCAAGAAGGATTTAGGTCAATAGTAAGGATTTCCTGAAAGAATGAATTCCAAGACAATAGAGGGGCTACCAAAGGAAGTTGTAGAAAATCTTTCCCTGGAACAGATAAAAGCATAGGCTTTTCTGCAATGATTTCTGTACTGTTAGGTAAACCAGATGCAGCTGCTGATATCCAATTGTTTTTACTATTAAAAATAGCACATTTGTCTAGTTCAACATAATACACAGAAACAAGATAGGGCTAACACCTTAGCCCTAGAAAACATCTTGGCTTCCATTTTAGCATGTGATTTTACTTATCTTCATAGAACACTTAGGAATAGTCATAGGCTTTTCTAAGAAGGTCAAGATTTAAAGCTTACAAGAGATCTTTGCCCACATAAAACTCTTAGCACTTAAGAACCAGAATCCCTGATATTCTTATTTGTACAGTCTGTCAGTCCAGAACTGGTAAGTTTTAATTATGTAAAAAATGAAATGTCATTGTTAAAATCTGTAATTTGGATGCCAAACGTCTTCATGGTGCCAAGATATCCCATCTCAAATTGATCTTTGGCACTCAAGGCCTTCGAGCCAGTGTCACCTGCTGTGGCCCTGCTGATGAGACTGATAAATGTTGATTGGGCAGGAGAACTCTCATCCTCAGTTTGGGTCAGACACTATCAAGAGAGAAGTTGTGCGGGAACTTTGCCTGTGGCAATGGCCTTCACTCCATGTTTATAAGTTACTGCTAAGCTTTCACGTTTCTTAATGAAGTCTCCTAGTCCAAGGAATTGCATTGCTGAACTTGGTAGTGATTTTTTTATGGAACCATTCTCTGATCAGTTTTATTCCAAAAAGTGTTATATTCCTGAGAACAGTGGAAACTGTTAAAACAAATAAGACTGGGTACAGTAAAGGAATGAGATTTTTTTCTCTCAAATGGAAATGTGCAGTCATCTATTTACGCAGAACACATGCAAGTCAGAAGGACCACACTTGTGGTCTCCAATCCGCGCTCAACCCAGAAACCTCCGCTTCAACTTGGACTCCTTTCTCTTCCTTGCCTGCCATTTCTGATCCGTCACCAAAGTGTGCCATTTTTACCTTTACACTTCTGCAGCGTAAAGTCTGCCAGTTTTACATTTTAGCTGTACATTTCTTCTGGTCCAAACCACTGCTAGTCACTGCCTTAGTGCAACCCTAGTTTATTTGGAACCTCCTCCACTATAGTCCCAATTTGCTCTGTAGAATCCTCTACTACTGAGAATAAGACAGCTTCCCAAGCATTGTGTGCTGGCTCTGCCCATCTCTCCAGCTTCAGGCTCCGGCTCCCACCCCACCCCCATTTCTCACCTCGATGGCCAACCCCCAGCCACACTGGCCCTGTTTCAGATTCTCAAGCCAGAC